TTCCGAATTGGAATTTGTTGATGGCCTTGTCCTTGATTTCTTAATTCTCCAGCTATTCTCGTCCGTCCTAAACGGTGCCAATATGCTATAGCATATAATTCGAGAAGAGTGCTTGTTGGTAGCGTTACACGGAGAGGACTTTGAAGAAGTCGGTAAAGTAATTCCGCGTTCTCTTCGAAATCTCTAAATCTAAGAGTGTCCACAAACCAACGAACTTGTGGTTCAAAAATTCCACACTCTGTTGCTGCTATGACTCTCGTCAAATCAGTGTTGAAAGCAAGCGTTAATGGTTGAAAAGTTTCATGTTTGTGTATGCCTAGGAATTCAACGATTGTTTGTTGAAAGAGGTGTTCGCGATACACCCAAGTCAGGGTTCTTCGAGTTGCAAAGAAATCGAAGTAAACATATTTTTCTTTCAACATTTCCTCATTTTTGCATCCCTCCTATTTGCTAGACAATTTGTAGAAGAGTCGTAGAATCGTTTCTTGAAGTTTTTGTAAACAACTAAAGCTTTGTTTCGCAGCTTGTTCTAAACTATCGTCTCTCTTTTTGGTGTCATTTTCTTGGGCTATTTCTTCTCGTTTCCTACTCTCCTCCGCTGCGGCAATGTCATCCCTGATTCGCAGTCTTGCTTTTGCTTGTTTGCAAGTGTCGCATCGCCATTTTGGATAGCATTGCTTGTACGGTTTTGCACAATTTCTGAAACCACACAAAAGACAGTTTTCGTATCTTGTACAGCTTGTGTCTCCAAATGGGCAGTCGTGCTTTTTCATTCTTCCTCCATCTCCAGCCGCTAGAATTTTCCCTTGGTCGTTTCCTTATCGCAGATCCTTGGAATATTCGCTTTCTTCAACCTCTCGCCAAAAACAGTTACGCGTACGCTCCAATTTTTCCACGACTTGGGTGGCTTCAATCTTCATGTGTTCTTCATCTTTTGGTCTTACGCTCCATTTTTGTTCTTCATTCCTTCATGCTCTTCCACCGTTTTTGTTTTACGGTCTTGTTTTTCTTGATTTTTGGGGCTTTTTCTTCCTATGCCATTTTCTTGTGCGTCTTTGGTCCGTTTTCCTTGAAGTTTTGGGGAAAATGAGCGTTTTGGTCTGCTCTATTCCATGAGCTCTTCACGTTGTCTCATCCCACCGTGGTCGCCAGTGAAAACTCCTGGAATCTCTGAACTGGGAGGAAAACGTCCACACGAGATTTTCCTAGGAGTTTCAAATCTAATCTAGTCCCTAAAACTAAAACTACACTACAAGAAGAATGCACTTACCTGCTTGTGCCAAGCCAAGTAGAGACTGTGAACATGTGCTTGAAGGTGCTAGTCCCATGCCTTTGATCCCTTGAAGGCGGTGGGTAAGTAAGACATTGTTGTGAAGGGCCGAAGAGATAGGCAGAACGACGATGTATTGCAATGTATTTTGTATTAGGGATAAGTCTAAAAACATTCTAAGTCCTACTTTTATAGTCGCTACTGCTCACATCAAGGTTAGGAATACAGTCCTAACCTTGAACCTCTCAAGTTTACTTTCCTAAGCTTGAATCCTCGAGCTTGTCTTTTTCTCCCTTCTCCAATCTCGGACTCAATCTCGAAGTTGATCTCAAACTCGGTCTCGAAGTCGGTCTCAAAATCGGTTTTGGACTCGATCTCAAACTCAATCTCATCCAATGAACTCTTTATCATTTCGGTCGTGCTTTTGAGGATCCTTTAGCCTACCACATCTCAGGGAGTTGGTTCTTTATAAAGGATAGTTGAAGTCAATTGCATATGAGTTGGTGGTGTTTGAATTGATGGGGCATTTTCCACAATCAACAGTTGGCAATGTTATTGCCTATGATTATTTGACTCAATACCTTCCAAACATCATAGATATGGTACTCCCATCTCCCTCTAAGTGGGTCAAGACATCATCAATGAAGTCAAAAGTCACCTTCAGTATATCATAAAGAACCTCATCCATCATTTATTGAAAAATCACTAAAGCATTGTTCAAATCGAACAATATCACCAAGAACTTGTACAAACCAAATGGTGTATGAAAAACAGTCTTAGGAATATCCTCTTTGGCTATAGCACTTGCTGATACCCAAAAACAAAATCTAATTAGTGACCTAATAACTTCTCCTTAGACAATTTAAAAGATCAGCAGTGTGAGGAAGAAGGTACACATCTGGGATAGTCACTTTGTTTAACAAATGATAATTGATGTAGAAATTAATACTCCTATCAGCGGTTTATCACAAAATGAAGT